AGTTGGCAGTCAACTTGTTATCGCTGGCTGCCCAGCCCTAAACAGAGTGCAGTACAGTTGCCCCGGGGTCGGACATGTTGCTCACATCATAAGTCACACGCACACACACACACACTAACAGTCACACACATGCATACACGATCACATTTGCCGTTTTCCACATTCTTTGCCACAGTCACAGCAGCAGTTGTTGCGCCTCATTGGATACCAAAATGGGAGCCTGGGGAGCTCCGACAGCGCAGAGGAGAGATAGGGCTATATACACTCTATATATACTGTGTATTTTCGCTTTAGCAATTGCTGCTGTGTAGCGCCTGCGGCGAGAAACCGACCGAAAATGTCTGCTGTTCCAGCTGAATTGTAGATTTGCCCACTGCACGCTTGTCTCATATACATGCACACATGCATAGAGATATGCAGCTGGCATTCAGCATCGGTTGCATGCCCCAATATGCCTGCATGCACACGCTTTAAAGACACGTCAAGGACCCGACGAAATTACGGTAGTCCATTTATGCGAAGTCCATTTAATGGCAAATCAAATTGCTGTAAGCGGCTTACTGCCTGGGCCCAGCCGTTGACAATCGCCTGTCGTCCAGGATTTCAGACAGTAAACAAATATAATGGCACCCGCACATAAATCACAAACTATTAAAGCATCGAAGGGTATAAACATAAAAAAAGAATAGAGTTGGACGAGTCTATAATGTCCGATCCGAAAATACTCTATATAAAAGAGTCGCTATTAAATACCAAAATATTGCATTAGTAGGTAGAAAATTTATTTTTTTTGTACTTTTGTAGTTTTCATTATTATATATATTATGTATATTATATTTATCTTGGAAGAAATACATATAAAAAATAATAATAATATATATATATATATATAATTATTTATTTATTTATTTTGTAAGTAGTAAATATATAAAAAACAATATATAAATTTATAAATTACAATAATTTATTATTATACTTATCTATAAGATTTTAATTCTCCACTTCATAATGAAACTAGAAAAAACCCGAAAAACAATTTTTTATTTTATTTTTTAATTTTAAATTCCATTTTAAAAAAAAAGTTACTTTTTTAGCTTTCATTTTCATTGATCTATCATACCCATTCAGAACTATTATGGAGTATAAACAGCAATCGCATTCGGACACAAAAATCGCTGCGTTTCACTTTTCCGGACGGTTCGCTGATAATTTGCGCACATAAATTAACCAAAATTTTCGGCCGCACTACTGACCCACACAACACACACACACAATCACATACACACACACACAGGCACAATCGCACATTAGCTGAGCTTTGACTATTGGCTACCGTCTGCCGTCTCGTGGGTGAAATTAAAAATACTGCTGAATACTTTTTGGCCAGAGCCGAATCGCTTTGTGTGTTATGGCCATTAGTGAATGCAGGCTCGCCGTTTTAGCTGATATGCAATCTGTTAATTTCGGCCAGCCTTGCTGTGTGGTTGCCATTGATATCTGTTACCGTCCCACAAATGGCCTAGTCTACCCTACTCGCTTTCCCTTCGCTCCCCCTCGCTACCCTTCGCTCTGCTGGCCATTTAAGCGTTGCGTCTTCATTGCGTATTGATGCGCCCTCATGTGAAATAATTGGCGCTGTTGTCCGATGGCGTTTAATAATTCATTGTCTATGTCTCTGTGCGTGTGTGTGTGCAAGCCAAGAGTCATGCTGGTGTCGCTGTCAAGGCTATTAAGTTGTGAGCTCAGTTGTCAGACGGCTTAACTTGCTGACTGTGGACTGAATCGCAGCTTAAAGGACAATCGTTTCAATACACCCAGGCAATTTACTACTCAAATGAAATATGTGAAAGCTTATATCAATTTTATTTTGTTTTTATAACAATAATGATGTTCTTAAATATATATCTTCAACAAAGAAATAGATAAATAAGATTAAAAAATTTTCATTTGGGAATATATTGCTCAGATTATACTAAAAACTTACCATTATTATATTCATCTGCTAAAATCTAAAATCTTCGTAGGATTTCCATGTTATTCAAATAATTAATACACATTGCAGTCTTTTTCACGAGTTCACTTTATTTTTGAATAATTTTTTTGTACAATAATTTGTTTTTATTTTCATTTTTGTTTTTAATAATATTAAATTTTATTTAGTTTTCTTTCCACATGTACCATTTGATTCAGTTGTAAGATATTTATTTTAAAAATCTATTACATATATTTAAAATAGTTTGAAAATATTTCTCAATTACCAATTTCTGCTGCATCGGTTTTAAAATAGGAACCTAAAAAACCTTTCATTACTATTTGCTTTGTCAATAAATAAATTGTTAATTTTTTGTTTTAAATATATGCTAAACACTAAATAAATGAGAAACATGTTCCAAAAAGTTCTACATAATTTAAAATTAATTGCGAAATAATATTTTTCATTTTATAAGTTTTAAAACTGATCACAGCAAATTTTCTAGAATACCCAAATAAACGAAATAAAGTAAATTGAACGAGCAGAATATTAAATATATTTGTTTTTTTTTTTTCACTTTTTTATAGAGTTACTGAATATTTCAAAATAATTTTTTTTTTTTTTTTTGTGTTGCTCCAAAAATTTATTTACATGTAAAATTTACTTTAAATATTTTGCTAAACTTGAACCAGATATTTGTTTTATTTTACTTTAACTCTTAAAATTCGTTTACTAACAAAACATATTTATCTAAATTAATTCATTATATTTTCTTTTTCTTTTTTACAAATATTTATTGTAGTTAACTGACTTCACATTTCCTTTTATTTAAACTTTTCAACTTTTTACAATTTATTTCATGTACTTAAAACGAAATGTTGAGCGTGTGTGTGTCTCGCTTCTGTGAGTGTATGTGTGCGTGCGCGACTGTGAAGGTACATACAAATGTGTGGGTGTGTGAGGTTTGTGTGTGTGAGCGATGGGCGAGCGTGAGTGTGTGTGTTTGTGTGTGTTTGTCTGTTGACGCTCTTTAGTTGATCTCTAAACGTTGCGCCTAGAACAAAGTTTTTCGTATTAGTTATGGGCGTGTGAGTGTGGACGTGGGCGTGTTTCATGTGGTTTTATTTTAAAATTTAAAATTAAGTTTTAAACTAAGCAACAAATTGAATTTGTTGAGTATTTTCTTTTCCCCCAAGATAAGAGTTTCATTGTTGAGGCTCTATTTGTAGTTTATGTAATTGAAATTTCTAGTGGGTATTCTGGGTTGTGTTTTTGTTGTTGTTGTTGTTGTTGTAGTGATTGTTGGCTGTTTGTTGTTGTCTTTTTGGCATGCTTCTTTCTACTTGCTAAGCAAAAGTTTTGCTCTTTGTCTCTTTGAGTGAGGTGCCTTAAACTTAAAGGACTTGATAATAGGAGTTCTTTGTTGTTGTAGCTATGAGCCTGCTGCTGCTGATAGACGCAGACTACTTGGATATGTCTCAATATATATATATATGTATATGGCTTACTTATGATGTCTTCCTAGACAACCTCTGTGCCCTGAAGTGGAGTCTGTAAAAAGCAGAGAGCAAAATTATGTAATATACAATTTGAAAGTAATAAAAGTTGCGCAAACAAATATTATTTTTAAAATAAACTAAAGTTTTGAGGAAACTGAAAACTTGTAAAAATAAAACTAAATATTGCTCGTAAATATTCATTAAAATAATACTTTCACTAAATATATTAAAATGTCAAATATTTATAAAAAAAAAATACTTAAAATTCTTTAAAATATATATACATAGGTATATAAAGATAAATATGAAAAATAAATATATATTGCAAAAATTATATTTTACAAAAAAAAAAGCATAATATTTATAAAAGTATCTATATATGTAAATCAATATTTAATTGATAATTTAAAACGTATTTCTATACATGTACATATGTATATAAATTATTGTTGAAAAAAAAAAAATGAATTTAAAAAGTGTTGCAAGCATTAAGTCGATTATACGAAATTAAATTGCAAACATGATAATGTAATTTTAAATTGCAAATACCATAATTTATGGATGTCACAGAGAAACCCGAAAGAATTATAAAATATTCAACAATGGCACAGATAAATAAACATAGATTTTCAACTAAAAATTTACATTAATTTGCTTTGATTTTTTGATTATGCTAATTTTCAGCGCCATTCAGCCGCAATGCCAAATCTCGCTTAATCACATTTTGTTTAGTTTGGTATAATTATGCTTTTGTTGCTGTTGTTGTTGCTATTGCTGTTGGTGTACAATTAAGTACGCTGATTAAAAATGACAGCAGGTAGCCAAGAAGCAAAAAGAAAATTTAAATTTGAAATATTTTAGTAAATTAACTGCATTTATCTGTTGTCTGCTGGCTGCTGCAAATTGGCATTCAAAGCAAACGTTGACGCTTCATTTATGCAATTTAATTGGCCCTTTTTATGGAATTGGTTAATTGGCCAATTGATATGGCCACATCCACGCAATTAGCCTGGCCAAAATGCAGTGTCAGCGAGTCGGCGAACAAAAGCAGTTACCGCGCTTTTGGTTTCGATTCATAATTTGATAATAAATTTAATTAGAAAACTATAAATTTGCAATCGAATGAAATAAATGTGCTAATAGGATAACAGCAAATGTGGCCAATTATTTATGTTGGCCACAAGACTTACCAACTATTTGCTAAACGAATAAATTTGCCTCTGGCCAATGGATTATTTTTAGTTGTTGTATTTTTCGCTCGCACGCCGCGTGTAAAAAGTTATAAATAATTGAGGATAAATTGCGTGCAAGTTTTGCCGGATTACGGGATTATGCATAAACACATTGTGCTAAGTAAAAATAAATGAGCTTGACCAAATCCTGAATACCCTTTGCAATAATAGACCCACACCCATAAATGCCCAACATAATTATTGAATGACATACATATGTTGCCAGAGTATTGGACTATGTTAGCGTCCACCCAACATAGTTAACCAGTTGGAAATGCTCTACTTAAATTATGAATTCCAAATTTTTGACATGTAAGTTATTTTTAAATTCACCGATTGTTTTAGTTTACAAACAGGGAAAAAAGTGTAGCGAAAGGTCGCGTAAAATGTCTGCGCTCGAACAGCTGAAGAAGGTGACGACTGTGGTCGCCGACACGGGCGACTTTGAGTCGATCAATGCCTACAAGCCCACAGATGCAACAACGAATCCATCGTTGATACTCAACGCCTCAACCATGGATCGGTACAAGAATCTGGTGCTGCATGCGGTTGAGTATGGCAAAAATGTGGACGGATCGCAGGAGCGTAAAGTGGCGGAGGCCATGGACTATTTGTCCGTTCTGTTTGGCTGTGAGATATTGAAAATAGTGCCTGGTAGGGTATCCACTGAGGTGGATGCCCGGCTATCGTTTGATACGGCGCAGAGCGTGGACAAGGCACTGAAACTGATTTGTTTGTATAAGACCTTTGGCATCCGTAAGGAACGCATTCTCATCAAGCTGGCCGCTACATGGGAGGGCATTAGGGCGGCTGAGATCCTGGAGAAGGAGCATTACGTTAGCTGCAATCTGACGCTGATTTTCTCCCTGGCCCAGGCAGCGGCCTGTGCCGAGGCTGGAGTAACACTGGTCTCTCCATTTGTGGGCCGCATTCTGGACTGGCACATAGCGAACACGGGCACTAAGAAATTCGAGCCCGATGACGATCCGGGTGTCATATCATTGCGACAGATTTACAACTATTATAAGAAATTTGACTACAAGACGCAGATAATGGGCGCATCGTTTCGAAATACGGGCGAAATCAAAGCATTGGCTGGCTGTGATCTACTAACCATTAGCCCAGCCTTGCTTCAGGAACTGGAGCATGATCAGAGCGAGCTGCCCCTTCAGCTATGTGAGGAGGCTGCCAAGCAAGCGGATGTCAAGAAACTCTGTGTGTACGAGAACCGATTCAGATGGCTAATGAACGAGAATGCCATGGCCACAGACCTATTAGCCACGGGCATACGAAAGTTTTCAGCGGATACGGTAAAGCTAGAGAAGCTAATAACATCTCTATTCTGACCTAACGAAATTTCACTTATTTGACGAAATCTACAAGTCTAAATATTTTGTAATACCCATTAAATTATTCAGTCATAAATAAAGCCTCTCTTCACCTCTAATCTCACTGGCTCGGCATTTCTGTAAGCAGACACACATACAACTATAATTTATAGCACATTGATATGATGTAGTTTAATATGATGACAGTAATAAACACTCAGATATTGGCTGCTGATCGACAGACAATGTACAGTTAACGACGTCCTCTACCAAATTGTACACGAATTAACTAGGCTTAGTGTATGCTTAGAGCTAAACAATTAATTTAATTTGAATATGTGGCTTCTATCTCGGTTCGAGCTGTCTGCTTGTCTGCCTGGTCTTAAAACCTAAATCTAACTTATCCATCTATGTACAACATTTAGTTCTAGCTTAGGTTTAACACTTCGTACGATCCGTTTGAGCTTAAAATCTCATATAGCTGAAATCATTCGGATTTGGCCCAGATGTGACCAACGACCCGCTTACCTCTTCCTCCATGGCTGAGCCGCATCGGTTAATGGAGGCGTTCTTCTCCAGGCTAAATGTATCCTCTGTTGTCTTATTGTACGTGGGATTCGAAAAGTTCATCGTATTTCCGCGCTTTGGATATTGCCTTAATAGCCAATAGAAGGCCTGGAGAAGCATACGGAATTAGTTTTTCAATTGGAAGCAATTCACTATTTACTCACGGCTATGACTAAGGTTACGGATGCAACAGTTCCGACGATAACCAGAGCTATTGCTTTGCTGTTGCCCTCCGGTTGCTGCGCCGTCTCCGCGCTGTCTCCGTCCGTGCGAGTCGTATTTGCAGAGTTTCCAGCGTTGTCTAAGCATACGAATTGGAATAAAAAAGAAAAGTAAATAAATAAATAAAGTTAGCAATAAGCTATGCCAAAACCCAAGCCGAAACCGAAACCAAAATTAAATATAGAAGTACACATAAATAGCTAAAAATATGTTGGGCTATGATGAATGAAAAATGCATTAACATTGAAAAATTCTTTACAAGATTCGACAGTTGTTCTATTTATAATATTTATTATTAGTTTGCATGTTGCAAAGACTTAAGGCATTTAAATATTTAAATGATCAAATCAATATGCATTGCATTACATTGGAATTTCAGTTCACTTTTGATCAGAAAACGCCTTTGAACGGAAAATTAATAATTGCAGAGTTTTCATCAATGAATGCGCAGCCACAGCTCATGCAATTGGTATTTTTATGTTTTGGTTGGTTTTGGTTTGTCCAACTCGAATATAATTAAAATATCTGGTTATTTTTTTCATTTTATTTTTATTATTTTTTTTTGTGAGCTGCAGCGACAAAGTCGCCGACAACCCGTGGCGTATATTTCCGTTGTCACGCCACGCCCACGCTGTAGTCGGACTCCCGGACTGTTGTCAACTTTTTGTGTCACGCTTTTCGCCTTTTGTGAGCTTTGCTGTTGTTTCTGTTGTTTCTGTTGTTGTTGTCTGTGCGGTAAAGGAAGTTGTAGGATTTTTCCGCTGTCAACATAATTCGTTTTCATATTTTCCGTTTAGAATTTGTTCAGAAGTTAAGCGAGCAGGACACGGGACACAGGACACAGGACGTGGGGACGTGGGATGCAGAACGCGCTCGCCTGGCAAAGGATGTGCCGCATTTAGCAGAGCATTGCACGAGCTGTCGCCTCATCTTATTGTTCGCCGTTTTTTTGTTGTTGCTTTTAATTTCTTGTCTAAAATATCCCCGACCACGCAATTTCCATGAACTCAAGACTGGCCGCCCGCTGCTGTGGATCGCCATGAGGGAGAATGTGACGCATATGGTAACGCCAGCAGCAGCAGGAATTATCATTAAAAGTTGGCAGTGGCAACAGCTGCACAGCATCGATTGTCAGCACCAAATACAACACACACACACACACACACACACGCATACAATGTTCCCCTTAGGGGGGAAAATTTTTGAGGTTGTGCTGCTACGTGGGCTTTAGCAATTTATTTGCGGCATTAACAGACAGTCAAGTGGCAAAAGAAAAGCAGTTGAAAAGCTCTACGCATATTTGCCACATTAATTGCACGCTGTGAGTGTATGTGTGTGTGTGTGCGTGTGTGTGGTTGCCTTTGCTACATTATAAGCTGCTTTCAAATGGTCTTAAAAACAGAACAGAATTCATTTTTTTCTATAAATTAAATTCGCCTTAGAACGGATATAAAAAGGTTACACAGCTGCTGTTCCCTGGTGTTCCGAAAAGCCTTTTCGCTATTTATGAACCCAATTCTGTGTTGCTTCTTTCTTTGCCTAACGTCTTGATAAAATTGTTCTGTTGAAGCTAAGAGCTAGACTTGAGTTTTAGGCAATAAACAAAATTTTGATGACGAAATTTTAATTATAAGCTTTAGAGAATATCATAAAAATATCATTAAATATTTTTATTTTCTATTAATATTTTAATAGCATTAAAAGGAGTTTTTAGATAACTTTCGAAGAGTGATTTTAAAATGATTTTTCTGCATCTGAAAATAACTTGTTTTTTTTTAATATTCTCTTACTTTAGCTACATCTGCATATAGTTTTCTTACTTTTCACTTATAGGTGTATATATTTACCTCTACATCTCTCTCTCCTTCTGCCACAACCTTTTCTCTTCCTGTCACTCTCTATTTTATTTGGTTTTCTTCCTTTCCTTATTCCTAGCTCTCTCACTCTATATGTTTTGGCTCTCTCTCTTTCTTGATCCCTATTTTTCGCCTCATCTCTATCTCCCCTTAAATCCCTTTTTCCCCATTATCATCCTTCGCTCTCTCTCTCTCTCTCTCTCTCCCTCTTGATCTACCTCTATAAATCACACCGTTTTCTCTATCTCTATGTATACCTGAATGTTCAGTAAATGTTTCTTTTCACCTTCTCCCAAATTTAAATACATAAACTTTTTCGAGCAACATCTTGCGAGCTGGCTGTTGTTTGGCTGCTCCACTTTGCCATATTTTATGTACTTCCATAAATGTCATATATTATTGCCTCTACCCTAATCTATAGCAAATGCAATTTGCCTGCTTCGCAGCACAACACAAAGTAATGTTCCCCCAATTTTTCTTGCCAGGCAACCCTCGACAATTTTTTAAATAATTCTCCACATGTGTTTTATATGTTTTTTTAAGGAGCTCGCCAGACAATAGCTGCCAGCAGGTGTACCTGTGTGTGTGTGTGTGTGTGTGTGTGAGTATCTGAGGGGGCTTAAGGGGGGTGCTCTGACTAGCCCCAAGGCCATAAAAATTCGCGACAAAAAGTTGCCCGCGAATGAATGAAATAAGAAGCCATTAAATGGGCGCTCAGCTATACAGTGTTTTTATTTGTCCAAAGTGTGACCAGATTACTTAAATAAGGGCAGTTTAAATACATATATATGTACATCTATATGTATGTATATGTATATATGTGTAACATTAAAAATTAAATATTTGCCAGGCAGTCTACCGGAGAAATGTCGAACAATGCTGACCAATTGCAGTCGTAAAATTTGCAAACAGCTGCTGAACCGCCGCCCCTGCGCATCACGCCCACTTTATATGGTGGCTATTAAAAAGCCAGTCGTTACATTCGACGGCTGCACAAGTTTATGGCGGTTCCGTGGCTCTCAGTCCATCTGTCTGTCTGTCTGTCTGTCTGTCAAGCAGTCCGCCGCGTATTTGCAGAACTTTGCCTGCGCTTAATTAAGCAATTTGAAGTGTGGCAAAGGGGCATGAAGAGTAGGGGTGAGGGGCAGGGAATGCTGCGACTGTGACTGTGACTGTGACTGTGGCTGAGCTGGGTGGCTGTGGCTATAGAAAAAGTAGCACAAACCGCTAATTGAAATTGCAGTTATGGCCAGCATGCCCGTTGCCTTGGCTTGGTCATCTAATTGAAATAGTCCTTAACTAGTTTATAGTTATTTACTTGAACCACGCCCCCAGACCCTCACCCTTCACGGCTCTACAAACTTTGTCCAAAGTGCTCAGCACTTGCTCTGCTGTCCGTCCGGTCTGTCCACGATTCCCAACGTAGCGCTTAACTGCTCTCGTCATTTTCTTGGAATCCTATTGCAGATTTCTCCTAGTCCCTTCCGACCTGGCCCATTGGCCAATGTAGCATTATTTGCTTGAGCCGCTTAACGATTTATGCTTCTTCAACTTGTTCCTCTTCTGCTTCTGCTTCTGCTTCTGCTTCTGCTTGTGCTTCTCCTTATTCTTCGCGTCCTTTTCTATTTCTACGATTTCTGTGCTCTTACTTTTCAAATTGACGTAATTAGGCGCATTTTGTATGGTCGCCCACTGCTAAGCAGTTCATTTGTGCCGTCATAGAAGCCGGCAAGAGCAAGAGCCCGCCAACAATGCTGGCCATGTTTATATATACACTATGGCCAAATGGCTGAAGACTGAAGATGTTGGCCAAATAGCACAAAGGACGCAATTAAAAAGCAAATCAAAAATGAATTTCAAGAAATTATTAAAGAACTTGCAGGGGACTCAAGAAATATTTCATTTGAGTGACTGACTTAACTCGTTTTTGAAAACTCTTAAGGATCACAAATTGACAATAATATTAAAAGTATCGCATGATGAAATGAGATTAAGTGATGTAATATGAAGGAAAGAAAGGAAGGTATTATAGCTAGTCTGCATATAGAAGACTGAATCATAATAAACTATATTTAGTATTGCAAGACAACTGGCTATAAATATATATTTTGACATGAATGAATCTCTGTTTGCCCAGCAAGTTATTAATACAAGGCTTAGACTTTGGGCTAAAATGGAAACACGACAAATTGATTTGGTTTTATTGAGAATGTTGTTTGTCAACATGAAACGGAAAACTGAAAAGCGAGAAACGAAAATGCTCAGAATTTTATTTGCATACAACAAAAGTAAACATTTGTACGTGTCTCGCTCTCCCTCTCTCCCCCTCTGTCTCTCTCTCTCTCTCTCTCTGGTAATTTGTTGTTGTTTCGTTTACAGGAAATGTCATGCAAATAGAAACTGTTCGGCTTTTGTTGCTTGTGTTGCTTTCATGTCATGTTATCAATAGATAAAAGCAGATGTTTCTGTTGCCCTCCCC